CGACGACAATATCTAAGTGATATTCTAGACCACACCTTTTTAACAAGGTCGTCTAACTCTTTAATGTTATTTGGCTTTGGCTCATGGCATAGAGATCTTTTAACCTTAGCCCACAAGTTTTCAATTGGGTTAAGATCGAGGCTCTGAGGGGGCCAATCCATTAATTTAATTTGTTTTTTTTTTATGAATTCTTTTACAGGTTTTGCAACGTGAGGTCTTGCGTTGTCTTGTTGGAAGATGGGACAATCACGATCACTTGGCGGAAATTTTTTTAGGGCGGGAAGAGCATACCTTTGGAGAATCTCGACGTATGTGATGCCAGTAACAAAAGATTCAAGTGGGACAAGGGGCCCAACACTATATCAAGAGAAGCAGCCCTAGTACATTTGACCCAAACTACGACCTATGGTGGGATTCAAGCAATCAATTGCCCATTTTTCATGAGGCTCACGCCAAACGTGACCAGGGGAATCTTGGAAAAGACTAACAGTGGTCTCATCTGATCACAAAACACACTTGAAGTGCAGGACAGACCGTTTTTCATGGGTAAGAGCCCAATCATATCTTTTTTGTTTGTTCTGTGGGGAGACAAACGGTTTCGAGGAGGTGACACATGATCTCAAGTTTTCACCATGTAATACATGGCACACGGTGCTAATAGAAACTTTTTTTTTTTTTTTATTATAAAGGTTGATAACTTGAGTAAGATTAAGACGGCGGTTGTCATTAATAACTAAATTTTTTAAGATTTTGCAATTAGTAGGAGAAAGGATCCTGGAATGTCCAGTTCTTTTCTTTTTTGCCTCAATAGCACCCAGTCGACGAAACCTACTTACGACATTCCACATGGCAGACTTACTGCATTCAACAGCAACTGAAATAACATGAACCGAATCTCCTCGCTGGTGACCATAAACTATCACACTTTTTTGGCTTTTCGTCAAATCTCTGTTGCTACCTATTGTCCATGAGAAGATAAGATAATCTTTAGTTAATCATTATATAACCATGTTCTTCTAATATTACAGAATCTTACCTATGTGCCATACAATATTTGAGCAAAGTTTGAAACGATTTTGACAAAAATTCGATTTTTTATGAATTTTTTTTTAAAAAAAAAAAATTCAAGATCGATCACCAGCTAGTTCCAAAAACTGCAAGTCGTCATGCTTTTTATATAACTTCTGTGAAACCTAATGAAACTGCATGAAATTCTAGCAAGTAATATCTTAAGATTTATTGAACATGTGACAAAATTTTCGTGTTATATTTATTTACCCAGTTTTAAATAATAAAAATTTAAAAAGTGTTCACAATATTTTGGTAGGGCACTGTATTTGGATATGCACAGATCAAATCTGATAAAGGAGATGCGAATGTCGAGGAAGCTAACAGCGATGATGCTATAAAAATGACTTCAACTGCGTATCAAGAATTTATGAATAAATATTAAAAAATTTTAAAAAAAGATAAATGGACTCTGTCAACTGGAAAAATTGTTGAAGATGCATTGTACACATTTGGAATGAAGTGCTCACACGAACAGTAAGCATATACTCGTTGTATTTATTCTGCAATTTAATGATGAACTTGTTTTTTTTTTACTCTATAAAAGTCTCTGTCATTCTTTTTTAATCGACCCGGATGACAAGAACTATATACAACAAGGCATCTTCACTCCTGAGGAATTAAAAGAAATCAAAGATTTTAACAAAAAAAATTTGTTATCAATGCCAGATGATCTTTTGAAGTATTTTAATAGTTTCCGAAAGGTGAGTATTTCTTTATAACATTCTTCACACAAATTGTATAACTTACTAGGCAATGTATTTAATAGTCCAATACTTCTGATCTGCGAGAATTGATCTTGCACCCTGATTTATGTGATCAACCATTTGATTGATCAAAAAATTTTGATTATGACTGGATACGTAACACTATATATAATCTGTAAGTGTAAAGTTTTTTGATTGCATCATATTGTTATGCACATTATTTTTAAGGATGTTGTTATAATGGTGTAGCGTACTTGAATATGAAGCAAATCACCTTGCAAAGGATCACCTTGAAACTTGGATCATGCTACATGTGTGGTCATTTATTGATAAAATCTTTTTAGACATAGATGGCATGGAAATTGTTAGGTAAGCTTTTTTTTAGAAAAAACATTTTCCAGCTATTATAAATTTAGTTAACTGTCTTCTTTGTAACAGAGGTGAATCATGTAGCTATGCATCGTCAAATAGAAAAAATTTACAACGGATTGTTGCATCAACAGGTTCAATGAAAAAAAAGGCAATGGGTCATCGTGGAGATTTAATAATCCGGAAATGGCATACGGAATATGGGTGTGCTGAAGCTGAAAATATTCGAAGGTATCAATGGTATAAAGATTATTAAAGAAGAGAGTTTGAAAATGCCCAAAATGCTTAGAGATATGTTCAATGACCTTTGCGAAGCTATAAAAATGTGGAAGGATAAAATCAGAAAACTAGAAACAGTTGGCTTTACCATCTCGGATATGTATAAACTTTTACATTTGTTAATTCTTGTTTTGTATAACTCAGTTTTATCATTTTAGGCTTGAAGATCTCATTGTTATGGTTAGATTTACTAGCGGGACATACTTGTAGATTGTCACAGACACGGCTTTTTGAGATACCAACTCAGATCTCTGAATTTGGTACACAAGTCCTTTCAACAATGAGCTTGATATGGAAGGCAAAGGTAAGTGTCGCTTAGATATTTATAATTTGTCTTTATTTGCTCATTTTTTTTTTCAAAAGGCAATAGTGAAAAATGTAATCAAACTAATGGAGGAAGAAGATCTGATGGAAGAAGAACAGCTCAAAATGCTACAGAACTGTGATGAAGTTGATGAAGATGGTTTAATAACACTGCCACCTAGATTGCAATTACTGTCAAGTTCTGTGACGCCAGAAAATAAACGGAGTAGAAAGGTCGAAAAGTGAAGTCAATGTTTATCATCACTATTTCAATCCGCTGAAATTTATTATTATGATGGAATCTTGGAGCTATATTATTATCAAAAATTAATAAAATATGCCCACACAGTTGAGCTCCTGATTTTCAATATGTGTATTGGTGGATTAAAATGGTATAAATTAATTTCTGATCGAACAATAGTTGCAATAGTCCACTCATGTCCTAATCTTTACCACTTTTCTTTAAAGGGTTGTCATAATATTACTGATAATTCAGTTAATAAATTGTTGTAACATATTCATAATTTAAAATTCCTAGAACTAGATCAGTGTAAATTTATCATGGATTCATCTATCTGTAATATTGCTAATTCTTGCTCAAAGCTCAAACATCTTGATATTGGTGCCTGCGATGCTTCTCATATATCTATCTGTAATATTGTGCATTCGTGTAAAAATTTAAAGTATCTTGATATCAGGTGTTGTCGTCTTGTTACTAATATAGTTATTCATGAAATTGTTCAGCATTGTTCAAACTTAGAATTTCTTTCTATAGTAAGCACAAATATTACTAAAGATGCATTGAGCAAACTTAATCCAAAGATCAAGATAAAGCAGGATTCAACACTTGAAATGGACCCAGAAAAAGAACTTGATAATCTCTGGACATCACTTGTTTATTTAATGTAGGATTTATAGTCAACTTATGCGAATTTCAAAGATATTGTACAATATTACGAAGACAAGATTAAAGATGAACATTATCAAAAATCAATTGTGGAATTGGAGCGGGATATGAGAGGTATAGCTGAAAGGCTCGGTTTGATAGTACATATGTATGGCCTTAAAGAGAAAATTAATTATCAGCCTACAAATCCAGAATATGACACCAATTATGCTATTACTGAGTTTGTCCCATGCGATATAAAATGTAGAGGCAAAAAATCCTTATCCTCACACATGAAATTTCAAACATCACGAAGTGAGTTCCATCAAAAATTACGTAAAAATGATTTCTTTTCCTAATATGCTGACAGTTTATATAGATCAGAAAATTACATATGATAAAAATAACTTGGTAAATAATTATAGCGAAGCAATGACCCTTTGGGTTTACCCATTCTTTGACATTAAATAAAATTATTTATAATCTACGATGAATGATTTAGAATATTTATACCAGTCTCTCTTATAATTATGATCTAAAGGGCCTGATTTCAAAAATTAAATCTGTTTTAGCTAATGATGGAGCTTGTTTGCATTTTGATGATATTGATCTTTGGCTTGTTTCATTAATGTGCCACCTGGTCGATATAGCCATTTAATTACTGTATGTTGAATTATTTTAGCGGAATTAATTTGTCTTCTCCATAAACAACATGTCTGCTAGATAATTAATGACACACAATTTTTTTCATATAATGCTAATTGAACTTTAAAATCCCTATAATTAGGGTCATTGCCTATTTGCTTATAGCTGGTTAAATTATTTTTGATATGAAATACAAAATTTTCCCAGTAATCTCTACTATTTATTTTATATTCTAGTTTTAATAAACATTTGCGTAAGTATTTTGGTGGATAATGTTTTGCAAACCGTAACCATGCTTCTGATGTTTTAATATTGTTAACGATATAATTTACACCATATTCACTTAACCTGTCTCATACTCTGCTATAACTCATTATATATTTACTACTTATTTCAGACATATTTAATATAGTTTTAATTTTTGCGTATATAAATGATTAGAAGATTAAAATCATATGCTACATGCTTATCACCCAAAGCAATTAGTGATATAATTACTACTAAGGATTTAGCAAATGCATTATGGGATCTAGCTAAAAAATATAATATATTATATGCACAAATTCATGAAATATGGGAATTTACTATTGCGATAAATAATTAATATTTATTGTATTATGAAATATGCAATAATGTATAATGCAACATGGTACAAAATTTTAAGCATATATGCTATATATTTTCCGAATATTCTCAATTAACTTAATCTCACAACTAGTTCCATTGAGTAATGTGAGAGTTTTATTTGGAAAGTCCAATTTTATTGCATTTTTCTGGAACCATGGTTAACCCAATATTAGTACAGATTCAAGTTCGGGTTCATTGGTAACAAAAACATCATTTGCTCCCATTTACGATCTTGAGATTGGATTGAAATCTCTATTGTACAAATTATTCCCAATATATTGAACTCACTAATGGAAGTGTATATTTCCATATCAAAGGTATTATCAATTTTCAAGCCTACTATTTTTGCTATACTTTCACCCAGAATATTACAATTAGCACCAGAATCCAATATAACAGTTACTGGTACTTTATTAATTTCACAAGATAAAATTCTTATAGTGATGTTTATTATAATATATTTAATTCTGGATTTTTAAATTCGTATTAATAAATAATAATTTTGCATTTACAATGATTGAAGCTAATAACAATATTAATGACAATCTGGTGGAAGAATCCATAAAAAACTTTAAACAATGTTTGATTGACATCAATGATAAAGTTGTAGAGGAAATAGTTGATTCAGACTCAGAATGTCCAATTATCACTTATAAGATTGTGAAAAAATTGGATTTTGTAAAAAATAAAAGTTTACCTAATATTATTGATAAAGCAGTATCTGATATTGTTAAGCAAGTATCAGATAAAAAAATCCGAATCTCTCTTCATCAATTACTAAAGATAATAAAACTCAAGGTTCATCAAGAACTTATAAACTCGATAGCAAACTTGGATATCTCTCAAAAAAATCATACACCATGCAAGGTTAAAAGAAAGTGCAAAGCTAGAAAAAAACTAATTTTTAATGATACCACATCTGAGTCCTCATCTTCATCTAAATCTGGATCTGACTTTGAATCATCTAGCTACAAAGTGACTATTCCGGCAACTATGATAAAGATTTTACTATGAATGTGATAAAAGTGAAGAAACATAATTAATCTCGATTATGGATATCCTCAATTTTAGATGTAGAAGTATTTTTATCAATTGATTTGGTTATAAAAGCTTGAGTTTCTGGTTCAGGCTCTAGATCTGAGTCAAGATCAGAATTGGAAGTATCACTCTCAGCATAATACATTTCAGAATTATAATGATTCATCTTATGCCTCATTGCAATCCTGCTGAGGAAAGCAAGATATTGTGAAGTTGAATTTTGACCACCATGAACTCTAGAAGCATGTTTACTTTCAATTTTTCTTAATCTTTTAGCTGTAATACCATATGGCTTTAAAAATTTACTAAATATACCTGTACTACATTTTCCATTAATACTATAAACAAAATCATACAACTTTCCGATCGCTATTATATTTTGAATCTAGGTAAGCAATTCTCTTATATGCTCTGGATTTTTTTCTATAGATAAAAATGGTCGAGGTTCAGAATTGTTTTTTGCTTCTCCTTTATTTTTAATATATCCAGTACAATACTAAGAGTAATCGAGATTATACTATTCTGAAGGATTTAATTCATCAGGCTTATAATAGATAATGCAAAGAGTGGTTACTTTAGCAGATCTTATACTTAACATTATGATCACATCTGTAAGATCTTGTAGAGTGGAAGTCTTAATTGTACAGATATTCTGAAGTCTTTTAAGCCCCTCTTCTAAGGAAAAATATTTAGGCATTTTAGGTCGACTGATTAATCCCAGTTCAAGTTTTTTCTTCTGAATTTTGTTAGAAGCTCGAGTAATATTTGGTAATTTGGCATATGTATAAATTTGCTCAGGATCAACTCCAGCTTCTGCTAATTCTTTACAAAATTGTGATAGACAGGAACTGGCCGCCACAATTGCCTCATTAATATTATTTTTTGGAATAGATAAGTCTAAAGCATGTAACCAAATATCCCACATATCTTTAGTTTTTGCACAATATTGAGCTTTTTCCTTGATAGTAAGTTTTTTCTCCCTTTTGTTTAGTAAAAGAGCTTCTATTTGATTGTTTTTGAATAGACGCCAGTGAAGAGCCTCTTTCATATCTTTACAAGCCTTCCAATCTGGTAGCATAGTACCAAGCTCATCGGCATGGGCATGTAATTGAAGCGGGTTTGATTTGGCAGATAGATTGTATTTATTGAGGATCTGATCCAAAATAGAAGTAAAGCTATTAGTTTTGGGTTTTCTAGTTCTTAGGACAGTTGCCATAATAGATATGTAAATAATATATATTTTTTTTTAAATGGGTGGCTTACACCTTGTTTATTAGGTATTTATTGATAAGTATGTACAAATTTATTTTATACAAATTTATTACTCAGTCTACCTAATTAAACTCACTAAGGGAAATCCTACCATGTGGCTTATTGCCAAGTACTGATATATACTTGGCTAATTTGCCAAGGCTCTACCGGTTCTATAAAAATTTGATTTTGAATGAGTAGATTGTGTTCCAATTTATCCAGTGATGACTGAAGAGTTTCATTATGGTATTGATGCCTGGGATGATGTGTTTGTTTGCATTTTTTTCTTTGTTTGCTGCTTTCCATAGCTTCTTGTCACTAGGGTGATGTTGTATTTCTTTTCCCATTTTGCAAATTCGTTGCATCTGTTGTTCTATTTTTCTTGAAGTGTGTTGAGGAATCTGTTGGTGATATTTCTTATGGTTTCCTTTTGGTGTTCTGTTGGCATGTATTTTTTAATAGT